CTAGAACCGTGACCGTTAATGTTAACCATTTACCGCGATAATCGATGGTAACAACAGAACCAAGGTAACGGAGAAACTCGAGAGATTATATGCATCAATTAACAAGAAATTGTAGCACACTGCCTTACTTTGATCGCGGGTTCTATACCCGCACAGTATAATATGTTAGACCCTATTTTCCCCATAGACTTTCATTGGGGCCGTATGCGTAAAGACTCAAAGCGGTAGCCAGCCAGGCTTCATCCGCAAGCGCAGAAGCTTTCTGATGTCTGTGTAATGTAATGTATTAGTGATAAACGACTTAAAAGAATATATGGGTATAGTCTATGGCGACTCCGGACCGGAGCATTGAGTGTGTACAAAAGTTAGATTTAGCACAAGTGACGAAATAAACGGTTTTTCTAGAGATAACTGAGGAGTTTAAATTAAATTATATAAACAAAACTACACAATGTCTTCAGAGCCTTCACTGTACGATAGCACAATCACCACAATCGATGAGGTCGCTTTGTGAATTTTCCGATAATTTTTGTACGTTGTGTGACAACTGCTACGCATTCCAGGATTCCGTTAGCGGCCGTTTCTTCGGCTTTAAAGCAGCACCAACGAGGATAAAGAGGACTGTCTGTAGCATATATTGGATATTGTTTGTTTAAGGGACTTTGGCCCGACATTTGACCTATGATTATTTTAATGTTTTTCCTATTAAGGTTTAGTAATCGTTGATTACTGATAAATTACTCATAGTCTAAGCCATGCTTAGATTACGACTAGATGATGCTGTGTGAATTGTTGAAAATACATAATTGCAATAATAACTACAGAAGGAAAATTTTAAATAGCATTCTATACTTGACCACCTGACTTCATCCGCATCCTATCAATCGGTGCTGCATAGCGTATGCCGTTAGCGCAAGTGGGTACACCATTCCATTTTAATCCATAAAAAACTCGTATTTAATAAATTCATTTAAATATTGTATGAGATCTCAACATTTTTATAATAACATCAATCCATAAAAATGGCGGATTTTAAATAAATTATTTACCATTAAAATAATTGTTGATACAAGATTACAATGAAATTTGCCATCAGTATTTAATGTGGTCCAATTTAATAAAAATGCCGTTTAAAATATAATAAAAACAGAAAAAAATGTCATTGGTCGTCTGGCGAGTTTCGTCTGGCCACTTTTTGTTTGGTCTAGCGAGACTGGTATAGTCAGGACTAGGGATGCTAACCGATACAAGATACAAGATTTTTGCATTTCATAATAATAATCCATGATAATTCACACAGCACCATCTAGTCCCAATCTAAGTAGATCTTGTGTTATGGGTACTATACAATTGATATAAATACAATATTTAAGTATTAAATCAGTTTTCTAGTAACCATAACTTATTATTTCTAATTATATATAATGTATATATTTACAAATTATAAGTATATACATATAAAACAACCCAACACAAACAATCATACTTATGAATACTGAATGTTTGCGCCGCACGAGGATTAGAACCCACGACCATCTGAAGTTAGGCGGTGTGTTAAACCACCGAGATAAAGAAGAAATATAACATCACGATAGTTGTCTCATCTAAGGAAAAATAAATAAAAATAGAAATAATCTGTATTCAAATAAACTTAATATAGTATGAGCACTTTTGAATAGTCATATTTTTTTATTTTACCACCCATACGAAATTAAGAACGCAACTTTCGATAAAATAAGTGAAATACTGTATTTGTTATAACACCCCCCCTCCTCCCTTTCCCCTATATGTCATGATGTACGAGAATGAGGAGTAAAATTGAGCCGAGGTAAGAAATTTTTATTACTTTTTCGTACGACGCAAAAACTTGTAGAGTGGCAACCCTGATCATGACCAGGCTCAATGTTATTTTAATATTTGACACATTACCAGCGATTATGATCTCATTGGCTCTTGTACTACGATACTTTCTATTCAGAATTAAATATATTATACGTAATGTAATTGATTAGTGATGTAACGCAATAGACTTTCGTGTTTCAGTAGTTGTTATGAATCAGATCAAAATCAATTCAAAATCTAAATATCTTTATTCAAGTAGGTCTATTATAGATTTTTATGATATGTCAAATCTACCGTCAGTTCGGAGTGCTTTCGAGCTAAAAAGAACTAACAAGAAACTTAGCTCTTTAAAAATGAGCTTGTTTGTATACAAAAATACAGATTAATTTTTAAATTCAAGTCAGGGAGAATAGAACGACCACCAGCATAGGCTATTACAATTTTGTCAAAAGAAAATAGTGTAATTAGTGGCCGTAACTCGAACAGACCACTACAAGCAGCATTAGTGCACGAGTATGACGGATGAGCCAGCTATCATTGCACTCGATCATATTAAAGGGGGAGCACACTTACACGGCCCACCACGCCGCTACAAAATTTAAATATTTTTTGTTTTATAAATGCATGCATATTGCACATAGAAAACATCTAGACCGATACAAATAATTATATTCATGAATAAAAATGTTTGCACCGTGCGAGCAATAGAACCCGCGACGGAAGTAAAGCGGTGTGCTAAACAGCTGGACCACCGAGGCCGTCAAATCAAATCAAATGGAATTGTTTAGCAATTATAGACCGTATAAATAGTGGGTTAGAGCTATTCCGTTCGGGAGCCTGTTTGCTAAATACGGTTAAATTGTTCATCCAGAATGGATCGGTATCCGGTAAATAAAACGTAAAACAGTTGTTTGTGAGAAATCATTTAAAATACCAACACACAGAGTAAGTACGCATTTCTCACGAGTAGCCTACTCATTATTTGCATTAATTCTGAATATTTTATTTTCAAACCGTTTTTCTTTCGTTCTTAGGATGCAGGACGCACCATTTTGTATATTATTTGTCTTTTGTCTATTATTTTATATATTTTATGAGTGCTCGGAAACACTTCGATATATCCAAGTGCTGGTCACAAAATGGTGCCGTGATGATCGTCGGGTCTGATGGTAAAAAGCATCAAGTCATAGGATTTTATATAGAAAATAATTGTATTCTGGCTTCATATATTCTGGACTCATATATTTATATAAATAAAATACTAGTTCTTCCTAAAATCTTCAGTTTTTCCATAACAATATTTACCAGCCATATACTTAGGACCGTAGGACCTACATGTCCCTTCACTTACACTTCGCACACCAAGCCAAGTAATGTTAAAAGGTTAACAAACTTTGGTATCTATAACAGGAGCTGACTTCGTCTGCATAAAATTTTAAAATTTCGTTTTCTTCCGGGTTTTTTGTCTATGCAGAGCCTATGTCTTCCCTTCATAATAATAAAATACTAGTTCTTCCTAAAATTTCCAGTTTTTCCATAACAATATTTACCAGCTATATACTTATTGGACCGTGGGACCTACATGTCCCGTCACTTACACTTAGAATAACAAGCCAAGTAATGTTAAAAGGTTAACAAACTTTGGTATTTATAATAGCTGACTACGTCTGCATAAAATTTTTAAATTTCGTTCTATTCCGGGTTTTTTGTCTATGCAGAGCCTATGTCTTTCCTTACGATATCAATGTATATTCATGTCAAATATCATTAACACGTTGACTGCTAATTACGAGATAACTCGTAAATCTCGTTCTCTTCTAGGACGCCGACTAGCTGCTATCTCGTACTTTTTTAATATTATATTATTACAAAACGGACAAAAGAAATATAATTATAATAATTCAAATTAAATAATATCTTTTTAATACTTTAAAAAACCTCAATTATTATGTGTTTTGATAATAACTAAGCTGTAAATTAATTTTAAAAATATTATGTGATTAAATCAAATTGTCATTTTGACAAGATTTCTGAATATTGCCGAGACAGTCAACGTGTTAAGATCCGTTCAGCAGTTTAGTAGTGAAAAAGTAACAAATGGACAGACAAGTACATGTTTGCATAACTACTAACTGAAATGATTAAACGGTATCAAACTATGATGCCATATCAGTGTCCGCGGCGACATGAATAGGTACTTAGTTGTGACACCTGATTGCATAAAACCGGTTTAAATAACAGATTAAACTATTAAATAATAACACGCCGACAGACAAGTGTACTTGTTTATTTATATCTGACGACCTTCTTGTAGTACTTTTATTTATTACTACCTGTACCCGCGACTTCGTTCGCGTGGAAATTAACTTTATTTTTCTAAAATAAAAGTAGCCTGAGTTACTCCTTATTACAACAGCTACCTGCCAATAAAAGTCCCGTGAAAATCGGTCCAGCCATTTCAGAGATTAGCCGGAACAAGCAGACAGACAGTCAGACAGACAAAAATTGTAAAAAAAATATTTTGGTGTATATATTTATATTCACATATATGTAGTAAAAAACGGTTATATCAATATTACAAACAGACACTCCAATTTTATTTATATGAATAGACTAGCTGTGCCCACGGTTTCACCCGCATGAAATCCTATGCTATGCACACTCTATTCAATTCTATACGATCTTAATTATCCTAAATACATTAGCAGTAAGTTTCATTTCCATGGGAACAATACCAAACGCTGTCTACGCACTATCAGAATGTTTTTCCTTCATACCCCGGCTCATTTGTCCGGCTTTATTCATTATTCTTTCGCCGTTCAGACTATCAAGCTCTGGAATGACTTACCTCTTGATATCAAGACCGCCACGAGTAAAATTTTACGTCAATTGCGGGAATATTACTTAAATTTGAAACTTCGTTTTTACCACGTTGAATATAAATATGCCCAGCCGAACATAGACTTTTCAAGCGTTGCCTTGCATATTATGTGCAACGTGATTTCCCTGGTTATTATCATGTGTTTTTTTTTATTTCCGTTTAGGAAACTTGATCCCAAAGATGGACACATTAAATTTAAATCATCCCTTTTATCCATCCGGGGTAAAAAAACAAAACAAGTTTATCCATATTTGGGTTAATTACCCAGGAAACTTACCTTAAGGCCTTCGTCTAAGGTCAGGACGGGAACATTTTATTGATCGCTTTTTCTTGAGTTATCTGTGGACCAAACAGATGAATATAAATATTATTATTAATTATAAATGAACATTTGTTTGAATGATGTTTTTTATAAAGGTTTTCTTTTTTAGTTTTAAATTTGTTACTGTTACATCTAAAAAATACAATAAACAGAATATTCAGTTTGTCAAAATGCGGTCTTATCGCTTAGCGATCTCTTCCAGACCTTTGGGTAGAGGAGAAAAGACAGACGGTGGTAGACGAGGATCCTATACCTTATATTTTTTATTACAGCAGCATAATGTTATGTAGCATTAATATCATCTGTAGGAGTACAATGCTTTTCAATATAATATATTAGTTTCTGAACCTGACTGAAGCCGCTGGCAGAATAATAATATCACATTGCAAAAAGCAGCTGTATTGTCGTGGCGCGCGTAAAGACACGTTTGACAGTAAGATAAAATAAAGATTATGTTCAATTAATTGTCGTTTTATATTCGTGTCAAAATTTATTATTATTAAAATTGTAATTACTTGGTCAGTATGATCCGTAACTCTAACTTATGATACCGAAGAATTGCAAAAATATAAAATGTATAAATAAATAATAATAATAAGTCTTAATAATCTATACATATAAATAAAATTGGAGTCTGTTTGTAATATTGACATAACCGTTTTTTATTACTTGCATATGAATAAAAATACGGTACACACACCAAAACATTTTTTTTACGATTTTTGTCTGTCTGTCTATTTGTTCCGGCTAATCTCTGAAATGGTTGCACCGATTTTGACTGGACTTTTTCGGCAGGTAGCTGATGTAACTTAGGCTACTTCTTTTTTTTTAATTAAAGTTAAATACTACCGGACGAAGTCGCGGGAACAGCTAGTAATAAATAATAATAAACAAATCACAATTAAAATAGATTAAAAGTGACAAAAGGCAGTCTCATCGCTATTAACAATCTCTGGTAGGTTGGAGACGTACACTAGACACTATATGGAAGTTAGTTTACTATAATCATAATTGTCATATTACAACAACAAATTGAAATTTAATGATTAGAAACATAACAAGTCACGAGAATCCTAGCAACCCAAACCATAACAAGACCATTCACTATTCCACACTAACCATGAATAATGTATTAAATGTTACACTGTTGTATTATTAACGAGAGAATTAATTAACTGTGGGTATCTACGGCGAACAAAATTGAAAATAATGTAAAATTAATTTTCAGAAGTATTATTATTAATAATAATATATATTATTAATACGTGAAGCAAACACATTGGACCCTTTGTCACGAAAATTGCGCGGACAGAGGTGTATAAAAATTACTCTAAATCAATAAAAAAACATTACCTACTCTACGATGTATTTGATACATACACGAATATATACTCTTTTGTTTATTGTTAAGGTCTGTGGTCAAATTGAAAATAGATTATTATTCCTAGTCCTTGGGGACTGAAATACGTGAGTCTTACGTAGTGTTAAATTAATTATGATCGAATTTCGACCATTGAGCTATCGTTAGTATATATGTTTAATTAAAAAAATACAGGCGAATTCAGAATCTCCTTATTTTATGTAGTCGGTTAAAAATGACAGAATTAAAGAATATTAGAATATCTTATATTGGTAACAACATGAAATCAAAATCAACATGGTATAATTTCCTCAACTGTCTTAAACACTGGAGTAACCCAAAGTATCAACTTAATTTTGAGCGAGTTCAAAGATATTTTAAGTGTCGTCGATTAACAAAAGGAAGCTGTAATTAAACAAATCTAAAATGTAGGTAAATCGTTTGGTTGTATGCAAAAAACGGTTGTGTGTAATAAAATGTGGCAATATCCTGCACTGTATCGTTAGTACTTAGTCCCCGAGTGTCCTGCATTCGTTAGGGTTTAACCTGAATACTACTAGTACGGTTAGTAGACACATCGAATCGAAATAATTATTTATTAATGTAATTTTAATTAAAACTATTACATTTTTAATTATACTACGGTACTCTGGTTATAACGTTACAATATTTTGAAATGTAACGTATTATCTTTGTTCTTTATACATTATTAGAATTAATTTAATAATGTATAAAGTTTTTCTATAAAAAAATGTAAAATACAAATTTTAATTATAATGTAACGGAAAATAAATATATATAATATAAAGATTTATTAGAATTTGATAATGTTAAATACGTGTAAAATGTTTTGAGTAGATTCAAATATATACTGAACACGTCAAGCGTTGCGTTTACCACAACATCGACAATTGGCAATACCTCTGACTACCCTATCTGAAATAACCATCGCGATGGTATGTTGTTCGTGTTTACAATTAAAAAAAATGCTAATTAAATTAAAACTAAACAAAGCTAAAAATTTGTATCAGATCTACTCCAATCAAAGTACATTCCGAATTGATTGTAGGTCTGTAACAGACCAATATAAATACAGTTATTTTGATTTGATTTTATTTATTGCTGTATGATTTTGCTTACACTACTTAAGGCAGTAATGCACTGATGTAAATTGAGAAACTCTAGATCGAACGATGCTTATTTTTTCCGTTTTAAACTATCTAATTAATCGATGTTTCGTCATACCCATTCAATTGGTACAGGCGACACGGCTTTTAAGGACTTTACGCCGATTACATGTCGATTGGGAATCATTTACGGCATTGCTAAGTAGAGCCGTAAAAGTAACGACAAATACAGTACCAGTACGTAATAAATACTATACCAAAGAGTATTCGTTACTACAGTATCGTTACTTTATTATTTACATTTCACAGCTTGTCAGTATCTATAATATGTCTTTGATAAAATGTTTTTCGATCTTTAGTAACGTATATAAATTCTTATCTCCTTTGGTATACCTACTACTGTACATTAGTTAATGTGCAGTAAATAACTGTAGTATCAGTAACGAGTAACTACAATACCTGAAGAACCGTAGTCTGTACTGTTAATGTAGGAACTATGAATACTCTGAGTTAATTAGAGTAACTAGTAACTACAAGAACTCAATGTTCAAGGTACACTTTGTACACAATACGTTCCGTATGAAACGACTCTTTTACCGACTAATGAATTCATGAATAATCAAAAATGTTTTATCTCTCATTTGACTTTTGTTGACATTGTTATTTTTTTAATACTGTTATTTTACGTGTAGCTAAAGAAGTAACGCACTACATTTGAATATGCATTTATTTTAGTACGGATATTAAACTGTCAGTTTCGCTCTACGGTTTAATCTCTTCTCCGTAACTTATTAAATAATTAAAATTGTAGTTAGTTTAGTCGAAGTAACTTCTTATTTATTACGAATATGATAAATAGATAAAATATATTTTATTTGTATTATACAATGATAAGAAATTTCACATTTATTCTATTTTAATGTTTAGTTTACTAATGTAAACTAAACATTTATGAATCAAGAAATTTAAATATCTTAATAATATTACAAACGCGAAAGTTGTAAGTTTTAATGTTTGTTACTCTTTCACGCAAAAACTACTGAATTTATTTTCATGAAACTTTACAGTAATATAGCTGGTGCATTAGAATAAGACATAGGCTATATTTTTTATTAAAATTTGATACAGGTGAAACTGCGGTTAAACGAAAGTCTTTAATATATCAGATGTGCAGTCAGTTCGAAGTGCTTTCGAGCTAATCTCTTAATCTCAGCTCTTATTCTTTTTAAATGATCTTGTACATGTTTACATAATGTCCATATTACTATTCAATAACACACTGACTTATAACATTTTAATTACTATGACAAAATATTAAACAAACTTAGATTAGCTATAGATAAGGTTTAATAAGTTCAGACAGTTAATATCCCTGACACAGATTAGATGATTGTACGTGTTTACTGATATCTGTTGATCGAATTAGATAATTATTATTGATTAATCAGGTGCAATGAGTTATGCTTTACGTATGTTATAAAATAGATTGCTTAATAGTTATTCAATTTTGAGTTACATCAAAAAGATTACATGTTTTCTATGAATATTACGTATGTATAGACAACTGATATCTAATAGTCATAAGCTCAGCTTAGCTTGGGGCTAGATGGCGCTGTATAAATTGTACAGGGGTATTATCATTATTTTAATGCCAATTACACGTGTTTTCATGCCACGAACAAACTGACTTTAATCGACAAGTATAATAATATAATATACATTGCTTTCTTGATTTAATTATTTTAGAAATATGAAAGCGTAACGGTTTTTGTATTGATTGCCGCATGCATTCTTATGTTAAATGCGAATTCATAACTATCAGATGGCAATTGTGATTAGCTATGACATGGTCTGGTGTTTTGAGTAGTCATGCTCACTAAAATGTCCAGACTTGTGGCGGCGTTTTTATTGGGCTCCCTAAAATATGGTCGAGCGCAGTGGTGGCTGGCTCGTCCGTCATACTCGTGAACGGGACTGGTCTGCTCTAATCACTATGACTGATTTCCTCTTATTAATTGTTTACCCAGGTGTTGTGTATTCAATATTTATTCTATTTGATTATTTAATTGAATTAGTGCTAATTGTTGTGCGGTAGTTTGTATTCACACACTTAAACTTAAATTGTAAAGTAAGAATAAAATTATTTAAAAGAGGAACACGCAAGTTTCTTGGTCGTTCTTCTTGTTGGTCGATCTTAAATGGTATCTTTGTCTCACTTATTAACTGATAAGTACTTAGATTTTTTTTGTAAATACATTCATAACTAACATAGAAAACCGAGACCGATACAAACAAACATACTCATGAATACAAATGTTTGCAACATGCGAGGAATCGAAGCTGCGACCATCAGAAGTATAGTGGTATGTAACCGCTAGACTACCGAGGCTGTCATATGATATATGTATTTATTGCACATATTCATACATCTTCAAGTACCCCTGACACTAAATAATAGCGTTGTTCTTACATATTCACGTGTAAGGTCATTATAGACGGTCACAGTGAGTTATTTGACATATCTAGAACGAGATAACTGTTACAAAACGTTACAATATTAGACGTATCAAACGGCCGGACGTAATGATTTATTATTCGTATTAGACATAAATACAATTTGTTATTAGTGTGTACACATGTTTATAGTGACATAATTCTATTTTTTATTTGTTACACTTGAGGCCATAGATAAGGGAATATTATAATATTATTATTATCTCTCATTCTCTCAGATTTTGCTGGTTTTTATTATTATTATTATATCAACGGAATTTTTACCCTGATAATATTATTAGAAAGGTACCAAATATAATTCGAAGTTGTTACATACATCACAAGTTAATACCCCATTTCGTAATAAAATCTGATCAAAAAATATTTATTCATACAGGATATTTGGGTCTCTCATGGACGTCAAAATTGTTATTAACTATCCCTACCATTTAGGTCGTCACCTAAAAGTTAAAAGTCTCAAACAAGGAAGACGTTGCAACTACACTAATATATTTAATAAAGAAACAAGACAATAAACCTTACAATAAAAGCCTATGCCTGCAGTTAGAATATAATGATTGATGAAAAGATCACCCATGCAATGGAGCGATCAAGTCAAAATAGAGCTGGTCCACTCTATGAGTGTACCAAAAACAGCAGCCAGTAGGGAGAAATGGCGAACTGTCGTAAGACGGATGACATCTACCTCTCACTCTACTACATAATGACCATGACCGTTCTGTCAAAAGCGTATCGATTAAGAGGAGAAATAAAAACAGATTTAAAGTCCAATCAATAAAATGACATCCCTTAATCGTCTATTAATATTTTTGATAGGAAATATGTGTTCCTTTATTTAAAAGCAACAACAAGGGAACATATAAAAACTTTTTTGTACGAAACTATACGTCCCACCCGTTCCAGGTTCCAGGGCGTAGCATAAACTTCAAAAATGTAGATAACCATATGTCGTACACGCAAGTGTTTACGTTTGACGTATGCATACGTCCTGCTCAGTTGCTTCGGTTAACAGATTAAGTACAGTTCGGGAAACAAAACCATGTTTTTCTAGTTGTATACCTTAATAACCCGTGGGCGGTGATAGGGTACTCGAAATCTGTTGTAATAAACAGCGCCCCATGGCTCATGGCACGCGCCCACCTACACGACGCTAAAATAATAAATTCAATAAAGTTGACGTGCTGTTAAAGTTTTTATTACAGCACGGCGAATATGTTACGGTTTATGTTCACATAAATCATGTGTTTAGAATTTTAATTCAGTGTACAGTCGTAGTATAATTAATATTATGCATTCACAAAAAGTACAGTCTCGACAAAATTAATATGGAACCTATATAGTAGACATTATATTATCTGCGATAGTACTTTAAAAAAGAAAATCAAAATACTTACGTAAAAAAAAAGCGTAGGATAAGAAAAAACGTGGAAACGTATGTACGTAGACTCGTTGAAATTTGCAACATGTCAAGTTACCCCAAGCTTTGTATTCGAACCTTTCTTATTATAATATCGAAGTTTAAAAAAACATCCGAACATCTTTTCAAAATTCCTCTTATTGGTATTTACTATAATTGTTGATAAAAAATAATGGACACCGAAATTACCTCGAAGACAAACTTATAAGTAAATAAATGAGTAAATTGATATTAAATCGCACACAATATTCTATGTCAATCAATTTGAATGGAAAACACGAGAAGTAATCCCATTCACTTTTATCATATTACGTCAAAATATGTAACGCGATATACTTAAGGTGCATTTCCTCCATTACAGCGTTTCTTAATCCATTCGGATCACGAAAAAAATCCTCGAAAAATTCAGATTAATTAAAGTTATTTTTAATAAAATACAAAACAGCGATTGCAAAAGTTAGTGGCACGTGTTTATTATTAAATGATTCAAATCTGTCATTGCGGATCCCATTCATAGTAAATATGCAGAACCATAAGGATCCGCTAACCACAGGTTAAGAAAAATTGTTCTAAAAACTTTGTTTTACTAAGACATAATATTTAGTGCAATAACACAGGAGAAGCCGCAACGTGGTATATATTTGTTTTATTGATCCTGTTTTATTATATTTTATTATTGATCCCGAATGAATTCGCGCGCGTTGAACTCCTTATAATGGCGATTTAAAATACATTATTATGGATAAATTTTAAGAAAATCTTCCCTAAATGTAGAAACATTGTAGTCTGGTGCAAAAGATTATAGCTATTATGAAAGCGTAACGATTATGATATAACTATTTAACCGGCCATTATTTTCCATATTCTATATATGATAATTAAATAATTGAAAAAAATAAAAAATGAATAATTCTAATTGAATTTAAATGTAACAATAATTATATATTATGAGTTTAATTCCAATATTCATTCATTATATGTAAATACCTACCTACAAATATTACGTAATACATTAAATGAAACTCGTCCTGCATTACCTTTAATTCAACGTACCTGTCAATTTTGAATATATAAAGTTATTATACGGATAATTTAAATATAACAGTGAAGTTTTATCAATTTAACATCCAATAACCATTTATTCGTTGTATATAGATACCTAACTATAAAAATACGTAATAAATTAAATTAAATTCCTTCTAAATAACTTTTAAAATATGGTCACAAAGACGCGTCAAATTTTTTAATTTGAACATATAAAGTGTCGCGTAATTGCCGCAATGGAACCACACATTAATGGTGTAACGGACAGGTGAGGTATAAAACAAATAGCGTGTGTTTGTGAAGCATGTTTATTCAATACAAATGTACATAGAAAAGTTAATATGCGTCTATGGTATACTTTACACCAGTGGTTCTTAACCTGTGGTCTGCGCACCCACCGGTGTTCCGCAGAATCAAAATATCTATTTCTTTTTAATATTATGAATAAATTAACTATTTCTTCATTTATTTACTGTATATTAATTACACTCAAAGAGTATGGTAGGTATTATGACGAAATAGGAATTTTGTCAAATGGTCCCTCGTCACTGTAGGGTTAAGAACCACTGCTTTACACTATACAATGTGGACCATGCTCAAAACTAATAAAAAAGCAAAACCAAACACGTCTTACCATTCCTCGCCATCGTATCAGCTTCTGCGGAAACAAAAAAAAGTTTAATCCATATCGTTTTGATCACAAAATCCACTGGATCGATATCCCGTTAAAGGGTTAATGTATTTAATGAAGATATACATTTAATAAAGGTATTCAAAACTTAACCCTAACTATAATATTCAACTTACATGGGGGTCTGGTAGACCATGCACAGTTACAACTCCTGTAGGCATATACCGCCATGATGCCTCGTGGTGCCTTCTCGACTTGCCTAACAAGAATGACCCATGAGCTATCGAAATGGGTTTCTCCATCCCCACGGAGTATAACCACTACCACCAGGTGGGTACCACCACGCATGCGTACTAGGGGGTGGGGCAGCTTGATATTGATTATTTCGTACCCCTGTTTGATGAACTGATAATGTGCTTCTATTCATGGTGAGGTAGACAAATTGCTTTGGGGTGGTGGTGATTCGGACTGTAGGCGTAATATTAATTATGTAGTGAGCAGAATGATGGATTCGATATCGGTTGGGTTGAATATTGTAAAGTTTTATCTGTTTCGGGATAGCTCTGTAAGGTCTTATTGCTTGTCGTGAAGGTCGTATTTTGCATGGCATACAAAATGCATTGAAATATTGTATAGATGTCTGAGAGATGTTAAATTTTGAGAATGAATTGAAAAATATGACACGTCGGTATGTAGTGTTTGAATATTTAAATTCCTCGTGCGCCATCTACATAAACCCGTATATTGATTGTTCAGAGAATTATGAATTGTTTTCGTTGCGTGTCACTGATTTATATAATTACAAAATTGTTACAATAGCTGCAACTTACATGTACGTAACTAGCCACAACTACGACTATACTTGTGTTGATAACAACTATATATTATGTAATAATCAATATTTCGTTATTATTTGTTGGTATGCATTTTATGAGTTCATCTTATTGTGATAACTCTTTCGACCGATTTCCCCTTCAGATGGAAATCCGAGCTCAATGACCATGCTTCGAACCTCTAGCGGTACTAAGACTAAAGTCATATCCGTCAGGAGTCGATCTTTAGCGGCTGTGTAGGGCCTTATATCTTTTATATATTACCTCTTTTTCATCTAGTAAAGCTGTAAAGCTGAGCTGTAGCCAACAGTGTCGGAGTACTTAAAAGAAATATTAATGTTGTAGCACAGATAACATATTATTACATAGTTGTAGCAAAGAAAGATATATATATTTATAATGTTTCATTACCAAGTTTGCTTGGATCTATATAGCATTTAAAAGTATTCTAGTAAATTTCAGATAGCATCATTTGTTTATAAAAGATATTTCTCGAGAGACTACAGCATGAGGTTTTTCAAGAAGGGTATATTAAGGTTTCTTAAGGGTCAGCAACGTGTATATAGGCTGCGGTAACCGTTTACTATGCTTACGTATGCTTGTTTGCCACCTACGTGATATAAAAAAAAGAGTATTGTGTATCAAATTTTTCATTTCAATTTGATTCGGAAAACAGTAACCAAAAGTTTTCCAAAGTCGAATCATAAGGATTTATTTTATTTATATATTCAATTAATAGAATTTACTTCTTTTCGAGACCAAACCATGAGAAATAACTCCTTGGGTTTTTAATAATTAAATATCTATAATAATATAATAAGGAGGTAAGTTTGTGAGATTTTGGATCTTTGGAGTAATCTCTGGTGATAGTTATTAGATTTTGAAACTTGGTTTTAGTGATGGATAGCCTATTTATGTAGGAAGACTATAGTCTATATCACATTACTGTATGACCAAAAGGGGGGTACCTTTAAATATAAAGTCGTATAAACGAAAAAATTTGAAGTAAACGAACTATATACGAAGATTTCGTACCTTTGGTATTGGGAAAAGCAATACTTCAAACATTTTTGTTTTTCAACCAATTTAAATAAAACGAACATTATTTAAATATTAAGGGAACTGATTAAGCCATTTCTGAGATTTGCGCGCTAGAACGCATAGACAAACAAGAATTCTAAGCAACATTTTTTAGGGTTCTGATATTTTTTATATGTATATATCTCTATTTATAATGTACACTTATACATTAAAGATAATTTTTAAACACAATCTTAGAAGCTCCTTTTTTTTAATTACTCTAATTCTGTTGATCGCAGCTGGCCTTTACAGCTTCACCGAACGATAATGAGCTAGTGCAGAAGGCACTCTAAACTCTCGGAAGGACTTATGGAGCGGCTGAAGACCAACTTCCGCCTGACAATGCCTAGCGATGCCTTCAGATTAAATTCATATCGCTATCACTTTAATCTGAGGCCATCGCTAGGGGTTCGAATCTCGGCTCAGGCCGTCGTAATTTCTATTCTCGTTTGAATTGATGATGGAGGATCGATCGGAGGTCGAAAAGCTCAATGTGTTAATTACTAACAAGGCTAATACCATCTGCTGAATCTACAAATACATTTTAAATGTATTAATTACTAGGTATGTTAATTTATCTATAATTGAACTATAAATAGATGGGAGGATCGCTGTAATGACAGACTACTTGACGCCATCACTACGTCATATCTATAGAATTCTTATTTTGTCTCGTGTGTGGGCTGATGACGTATCTACTATAGCGTAATTAAATCGGTTACTACACAAAGTGACTATAACATTTGCTTTCTTTACCCGACTGCAGAATATAGGAGTTTAATAGAACTGGTAGGATATAGGAGGGTCTAATCGAGCTTAGCCGATTAAATACTTTCATAACACAACTACATATAGTTATATATACACTAGCTGTCCCGGCAAACGTTGTTTTGCCTTAAAATAAAAAAAACATTTAGGGGTGAACTACCCCTAACATTTAGGGGGATGAAAAATAGATGTTGGCCGATTCTCAGACCTACTCAATACGCTCACAAAATTTCATGAGAAACGGTCAAGCCGTTTCGGAGGAGTATGAGAACGAAAACTGTGACACGAGAATTTTATATATAATATTTTGTTATTGATTTTCATACAATTTACACATGAATAGACTGATTTCTGATGAAGACTTAGGTGTATAATTCATTAAGGTTTTGTGTAAATACACCAGCATATAAAATAACGCTCGAATTAAATTTAAAGGCCTATTCACACTTAGTTAAGAGGCTTCATCCTTCGGATTTATAATATACTGGCTTTTACACATATCCTTCTATCTAATCTTCTTCTTGAATTACTCTATAAATATAAGTAAAAAAAATATAAGTATTTATATCAGTTGTCTAGTACCCCTAATACGAGCTCTGCTTACTGTGGGACTAGATGGTGGTGTGTTAATTGTCCAGAGTTATTTATTTAATTATTATTATTTATTAAAGATGCCGGAGTATTTGTGTGCTAAAATATATTACTTTGTGTATACGATATTGCTATATCTAAAGATTACTTAGACATTCATGATAAAAATAGTGTTTCAGAAAATTTTATCGCATAAGTGACTATAATAAAGTCTTATACGAAAAAATGTTTTTTAAATTTTAATTTGATAAAACTTTACTTAACACTCCCTTATTATAACATAGTAGACACTTAAACATGGTATTAAGTGTCTACTATAACATAGTAGACACTTAATACCATTTAGTATAAAAATCTTAAAAATAGTAATTCTTCTACTAAACGACATATAATGTTCAGTTTGATGTAGAATATATTATTATACATATAGAGTATATGTTTATTAAAAGTACAATACGCAAATAAAGACTCAGTTTCAATCGTAATAATGGCGGTCTAAACACTGCCGAAACATTGGAACTCAATAAAAATAAAACGTGGTATGGTCCCCTGATTTACTAAATATAAGTATAAATAATACCGCGTCAATTTTATAACAAAAAAATCAGTTTCAATAGTTCAAAGTCTGCAATAGAAGCTAATAAAAGTCACCACATCTTTGATTTAAACCATTATTTAATAAAAAAGAAGCCGTTTTTTGTCAACCATTTACTAAACTTCTTCAAGCCTGGAGTTTCGTGATCGCCAACGTAACTATTACGTAGAATAAAAACATTACGTGTCAAAAAGCGCAGTGCGGTATAACGATCGGCTCGAACTATATGTAACTGTGTTAAACTACGCCTTTTGCGACCGAAATGAAATCGTGTCGACCTATTTCTGTTGTAATTCAGTCATGCACATGTAAAAATATAATTATTGTTAATTTATTACAGCTAGAGTGGCAGTGGTTTAATTATACAATGCATTTTCCTAGAAATTTTAACAATATTGTAATAATTTGAGGGCTTTATAGCTTAGTATATAATACTACAATATATAATACCCTACTTACATGCAAAAATGCCAAATAGAAGAGGTAACTACACATCCTATGTGGTTGTAGTCCATGAAATATTTCCTCTGAAAAGTACTCGCTCTATCCTGATGATATAAAAACCATCGCTCCTAAGAATATCCTTCAATTCTTGTCCCTTACAAGCCTACTAAGTGAACTCTATAAAAGGGCGAGTGGCAACAAAATTTTGCAGACAAACATATACATACAAGCATTCTAAAATCTAAAAATACAAAATAACTATTTTGTATTTTTAGTTTTACTATTGTGTACAGACATCAATCTGTTAAATTTTTATTTAATACTAGCTTTATTTTTCTAAAATAAAAGGAGCCTAAGTTACTCCTTATTATATCAGCTACCTGCCAAAAAAAAGTCGTCAAAATCGGTCCAGCCATTTCAGAGCCGGTACAAACAGACAGACAGGAAGACAAAAATTGTAAAAAATATAATTTGGGTATGTGTACTGAATTTATATTCATATGCATGTAGTAAAAACCGTTATTTCAATACTACAAATAGACAGTCCAATTTTATTTATATGTATAGATTTAGTTTAATCTACAGTAGGTACTGTGAATTACAGATTGTTTCATATTTGTCTGTCTTATCTTATTACGACACTTAAGACATTCTTCTTACAACATTTCTTTTCCTACCTTATTATTATTTTATAAAGAAAATAAATAAATATTAGG